TGGGAAGGTAGCGGAAGATGGCCCAAGTGCTTGGGTCCCTGCCACCCATGTGGAAAAACAGGGTAGAGTTCCTGAATCAGCCCAGGCTGTTGCAACCATCTGGGAAGTGAATTAGTAGATGGAAGATATCTATCTCTCTCTCTCTCCCTCTATCTCTCTTTGTCTCTCTCTCTCTCTCACTCTGCCTTTCAAATAAATAAATCTTATTTTATTTTTAAAGATTTTTTATTTATTTATTTGACAGGTAGAGTTATAGACAGTGAGAGGGAGAGACAGAGAGAAAGGTCTTCCTTCTATTGGTTCACCCCACAAATGGCCGCTACGGCCGGAGCTGTGCCGATCCGAAGCCAGGAGCCAGGTGCTTCTTCCTGGTCTCCCATGCGGGTGCAGGCGCCCAAGCACTTGGGCCATCCTCCACTGCCTTCCCGGGCCACAGCAGAGAGCTGGACTGCAAGAGGAGCAACTGGGACTAGAACCTGGGGCCCATATGGGATTCCGGCGCCACAGGCAGAGGATTAGCAAAGTGAGCCACGGCACTGGCCCCAAATCTTTATTTATTTATTTATTTATTTGTTTGTTTGATAGGTAGAGTTACAGACAGTGACAGAGAGAGAAATGTCTTCCTTCCATTGGTTCACCCCCAGAATGGCCGTTACGGCCAGCGCTGTGCCGATCCGAAGCCAGGAGCCAGGTGCTTCTTCCTGGTCTCCCATGCGGGTACAGGGGCCCAAGGGCTTGGGCCATCCTCCACTGCCCTCCTGGGCCACAGCAGAGAGCTGGACTGGAAGAGAAGCAACCGGGACTAGAACTCGGTGGCCATATGGGATGCTGGCACCACAGGCAGAGGATTAACCAAGTGAGCCACGGCGCGGGCCCCCAAATAAATAAATCTTTAAAAAATAAAGATATTGGACCCCTCTGTCAACCAAACTGGATCCTGAATGTAAGAATTTTTTTGTAAGATTTATTTATTTATTTGAAAGACCTACACACACACACACACACAGAGAGAGAGAGAGAGAGAGAGAGAGAGAGAGGTCTTCCATCTGCTGGTTCACTCCCCAGTGGGCCACAACAGCTGGAGCTGAGCTGAACTGAAACCAGGAGCCAGAGGCTTCCTCTGGATCTCCCACACGATTGCAGGGGCCCAAGGACTTGGGCCATCTTCTACTGCTTTCCCAGGCCACAGCAGAGAGCTGGATCAGAAGTAGCACAGCCAAGACTTGAACCGGCGCCCATATGGGATGCTGGCACTGCAGGTGGCAGCTTTACCCACTATGCCACAGTGCCAGCCCCAAGAATGGTTTTATTAAAAGTATTTAATGTTAAAATATTAAAATATTATATTTTCAAAAGCCTGTCTTACCTTATATGTATTCCAGAATTTCTGTTTCAGGTCCAAAAATATGTCATCATCTCCTTGGAGAATGCTCATACCTATTTATACACAAAAATATCAAAAGAATTTTGAAAGATTCTGAAAGAAGATTACTAACTATATAACAGCATATAGTCAAGTTACCTATTTCAATATGCAAAATAACTACTATCACTCATTGAATATATTCCTTCTAACTCAACAGTGAAAAGAAAAAATAATCTCCATTTCAAAACTAGACAAATTTTAAAGGGATGATAAATACAAAGTGAGACCAGCAGGGTATAAATGTTATAATGGGGTAGGCATTTGGGGCAGTGGTTAGCTAAGTCTCCATGCCCACATTCTATATCAGAGTGCCCGGGTTCCAGTCCTGTCTCCACTTCTGATTCCAGCTTCCTGCTAATGGATGCCCTGGGAGGCAGCAGGTGACAGCTCCTTAGGTTCCTGCCCCCATGTGGGAGACCCAGATAGAATTCCAGGCTCCTGATTTCAGCCTGACCCAGACCTGCCTGTTGCAGGCATTTGGGGAGTAAACCAGTAGATGGAATATCTTGCTCTTTTTTTTTTTTTTTTTTTTAATTTGAAAGAGTTACACAGAGAGAGGAAAGTTAGAGAGAGGGAGAGATCTTCCATCCACTGGTTCACTCCCCACCTGGCCACAACGACTGGAGCTGCACCAATCCGAAGACAGGAGCCAGGAGCTTCTTCCGGGTCTCCCACGCAGGTGCAGGGGCCCAAAGACTTGGGCCATCTTCTAGCGCTTTCCCAGGCCATAGCAGAGAGCAGGATTGGAAGTGGAACAGCTGGGTCTCAAACCGGCATCCATATGGGAAGTCAGTGCTTCAGGCCAGGGCGTTAACCCGCTGTGCCACAGCGCCAGCCCCTCTCTCGCTCTTGCTCTGGCCCTGGCTCTCTGCCTTTCAAAAATAAAATGAAAATAAACAAATAATTTTTTTAAAAAGTTATGCTTTGATGATTATTTTTAAAGATTTATTTTTATTTATTTGAAAGAGTTACAGAGAGAGAAGAAGAGAGAGAGAGGGACCTTGTATCTGCTAGTTCACTTCCCAGATGGCCACAACAGCAGTGGAAGATGGCCCAAGTGCTTAGGCCTCTGCACTAGCTCGGAAGAAGCTCCTGGCTCCTGGCTTCAGATCTGCCCAGCTTCAGCCGTTGCAGCTATTTGGGGAGTAAAACAGTGGATGGAAGACCTTTCTCTCTGTCCTTCCCTCTTGCTGTCTGTAACTCTATGTCTCAAATAAATAAATCTTTAAAAAAAAAATGAGTGCTTTAAAGATTCTCCCCCAACTACAGTTTGGAGGAAGGAGAAATAAGAGATTTGTTAATTATAAGAGTTTCTGTAAAAAAAATTTTTTTTAATTATTTATTTGAAAGACAAAGGAGATAAACTGAGTTTTCCCATCTGCTGGTTCACTCTGCAAATACCCGCATTGGCCAGGGCTGGGATGGATTAGGGCCAAAGCCAGCAGCCAAGAACCAGCAACTCCGTCCAGGTCTCCCACATGGGAGGCAGGAATCCAATTACTTGAGCTCTCACTGCTGGCTCCCAGGGTCTGCATTAACAGGAAACTGGAGTTAGGAACCAGAGCCAGGTTTCCAATGTAGGCCCTCTGATATGGGATGCAGGCTTTTTTTTTTTTTTTTTTTTTTTTTTTTTTTTGACAGGCAGAGTGGACAGTGAGAGAGAGAGAGACAGAGAGAAAGGTCTTCCTTTGCCGTTGGTTCACCCCCCAATGGCCGCTGCGGCCGGCGCACCGTGCTGAACTGAAGCCAGGAGCCAGGTGCTTCTCCTGGTCTCCCACGGGGTGCAGGGCCCAAGGACTTGGGCCATCCTCCACTGCACTCCCTGGCCACAGCAGAGAGCTGGCCTGGAAGGGGAGCAACTGGGACAGAATCCAGCGCCCCGACCAGGACTAGAACCCGGGGTGCCGTGCCGCAGGCCGAGGATTAGCCTAGTGAGCCGTGGTGCCAGCCAGATGCAGGCATCTTAACCTCTCAGCTATATATCCACCCCAAGAGAGATTCTTCAAAGAAAGATTTATTTTAAAAAAATCCAGCAAAATATTAGTAATACTGTGTTTCACTTACCCAGCATTGATTAAATGCTGAGCACCTTATATGCTTCATTGCTTTTGACCCACCTAACAGTTCACTGAAGCAGCTAGAGTTGAAAGGAGGAAAAGAGGTTAATACCAGAGGGGTCCAACCCAGGTGTCCGATTGCCTAGCCAGACCTAACCTGGCCCTGGCACAAAGGATCATCTAATCCCCTCCCATGAAGTTTCTAAAGAATGCCTTAAACAAACATGCAGTCCACCCCTCCCATCTTATTGTAACTTGAGGAGAGGGGAACCAGACCAGAAATGTGAAAAGCGAAAGAAAGCAGCGCTCTGGGCAGGAGTCTGTACCAGGGGCCTCAGGCCTGAATCTTGGGCCTCCAGCATCTCTGGTTTCAGACAGACTGACAACAGTGTCACCATTAGGGCATCCAGATGAGGAGGAGGGCTTGCATCCTGTTTTCTTTGAGTTACCCAAACTCCTTTGAGACTCAGTGTTCTCGTCTGTAACCCAGGAGTGATAAGAGCGAGCACCTGCCTTCCTGGTTGGCTGAGGATTGAGTAGGAAGCGGATCCCCAAGGTCACAGCTGCATTGACAGGCAGAGGAGCCTGTTTGCAGATCAGGCCCAGACTTGACAAAGCAGGAGGCCCCTGCTCGCAGCACGCCGGTTTCACGGAGCCCATTGATTCCACCAACCATGTGTGTGGTTCACTGAGGCTGCAGCAAGCAACCCAGTCTTCCCTGAATCCGGCCCCAAACCAAACCCCGTGGGTCAGTTTCTCCACAGTGGTGGTTTGCCTGACCTCAACCCCGGTTTAGAAGACACCAACAGCCACTAAGAGATTCTCTCCCATTTTGGGGGGAATTTTGTGGTCCAGGACCCATGGAGATATGCCAAGGGTGTGAGCACCCTTCCCCACTTACCTCCCCCCCCCACACACACACACCTCAAGGCCATAGAAACAGCCAGGATGGTTGTGAGCACGGAGCCCTTCACTGTGTTTGGTATTCTGCCACCGGGAAGGTTCCCCAGGTCGGGCTCTCCAGCCATCATGGATGCATCTGAGGGCCCTCACAGTCTCTGTCGGGGACTCCTGGGAAAATCTTATTACCACAAGGAGGACTAGGACCCTGGGCGGGACTGAGGACCCAGGGCCAACGCCAGGTTCCCCATCCCCCATTGTGTGTGTGTGTGGGGGGGTGCTGTTCCTGGCAGCAGGACGGACCCCCGGGATTGCAGATGCTGAAGCATGGAGGAGGCGTCCCCTCCAGGTGCCTGCGGGCCTCGCCACGGGGAAATGGCCCTCCCAGCCACATCCTAGCACCGGAGTTTCCATCCCAGCCTCCTTTATCCCTCACCAGCTGGACTTTCGGCCTCCAGATCCCGGTGCTCAGACAGCCCAGCCATTATGCCCTGCCCTCTAGCCCTGGTCCCCGGCCCCCAAAGCTCCCCGCTCCTACCCTAGTCCTTAACCCTGGCCCCTGGCCCGGCCCCTGCCCCTGCTTCCAGGTCCCTGGTCCCGGGTCCTCTGCCTCTCACCGATGTAGAAAGCCGAGAGGGCCACGGGTCCGCCGAACGTCTGGTCGCACAGCACCTTAGCCAAGACGGTGCGCGGCGCGCGGCCCGGCAGCGCGCGTTCCAACAGGCGCAGCCACACGTAGTTGAAGTTGGCGTGGAAGGTTACGGCCAGGGTGGCCACGCGCCGCGTCTGGCGCCAGTCCGCAGGGCCGCCCCGTAGCTGCTGCTGCAGCGCGTCGCCGGAAGAGTAGAGGCCGGCGTAGAGCAGCACGTTGGTGGGCCACGGGTGGCGTTGGGCCGCGCGCGCCAGCGCCCGCCACCAGCCCGCCATGCCCGCGCCGTGGGCGTCCGGAACGACCGCCCAGCCCGCGGTCTGGGCCACGCCCGCCGCCGCCCCTACCCGCCGCGGCCCCGCAGCCGCCTGCACCTGCCGAGTCCAGACGCTGCAGAGCGGTTGAGCTCCCTGAGCACACCCGACCCGCGCGTCCAATCCGGCGTCCAAGCTCAGCGTTTGAAATACGCCTGGTCCATAAGATGCACGGATCCCTTCACACGAAATTGCCCAGAATAGGCAAATCTATAGAGACAGAAGGCAGATTAGTGATAGGGGGCTGGGCGATGCAGAAACACAAAATGACTGAGCAGGGTGTGTTTTTTTTTTTGTTTTTTTTTTTTTTTTTTTTTTGGAATGATGCAAACATTTTATAACTTGAGAGTGGTGCTGGTTTCACGACTTTGTGAATGATATCATTGAATATAAAATGAATTTCATGGCATGTGAATTATATCTCCAAAAAAAAAAAAAATAAATGAAAGGAAAAAAGCGAGGGGATACCAAAGCACAGTTACCTGAATGGCAGCGTTTTTAAACGTTTGCATGCAGGTAAGTCCTGCTTTCATCGCACAATACAGTGATTGTGTAACTTGGTTTGTAGAAAACGGCAGAAGTTAACACTGGAGGTCCCTCCTGGATGTGAGGTGAGGCCTGATGTGCTTACTGCCTTCCAGCCCTCCCGTATCATCTCTGTGACCCGAGCTTCCCAAAGCCTATGCTGACCTCCCGGGCACTGTCCCAGAAGCAGAGGTCATGGGGAACCCAGATACAATCTCTGACCTCATGGGACCCGTTTTTCTGTTTTCTGCCTTTATTTCTTCCTCTACAATCTAATCCCATTCTTTCCCTCCCTCTCTCGCTCCTCTCAATTCACTTGCTCTATTTTACCTAATTTTAAAAATGTTAAAATTTTAATCTTGAAAGAATTCCAGACGTGGGAAAAAAGTTGCAAAAAATAGTACAAAGTGTTCCCATATACTCTTCATCCAAGCATCCCCAAATATTGACATCTTACATAACCATAGTGCATTGACCAAAACAAGGAAATAGCACACGTGTACTCCTATCGCCTGATGTAATGCTTCTACCTAATCTTCAGGCCTCGCTGAAATTATTGCCACTGATCCATCCAGTCCTGGGTCTCCCTACACGGCTTTGAACTGGTCACGTCGCCTTGGTCTCCAATAGGCAGGCTATGTAACTTTTATCTGTGATTTTGTAGACTGTCCCTAAATTTATCAGTTCTGTTGTTGTAGGCTGAATTGTGTCTCTTCAAAATTCCTGCATCGAACCCTAACCCCCTATAACTCAGAATGTGACTGTATTTGGAGATAGAGCCTTTAAAGGAGTAATGACATAAAAATGAGGGTAGGATGGCAACTATCACTATGTCCCTAAATCCGTATATCTGAAATACACGAAACTTGTATACCTTAAATAATTTTTTTAAATGATGCCTTTAGGTTGGACTCCAATCCTGTCTGTCTTGTATTGGTATAAGAACAGGAAATTTGGGCCGGCGCCGTGGCTCAATAGGCTAATTCTCCACCTAGCGGCGCCGGCACACCGGGTTCTAGTCCCGGTCGGGGCGCTGGATTCTGTCCTGGTTGCCCCTCTTCCAGGCTAGCTCTCTGCTGTGGCCAAGGAGTGCAGTGGAGGATGGCCCAAGTGCTTGGGCCCTGCACCCCATGGGAGACCAGGAGAAGCACCTGGCTCCTGCCATGGGCAGCCATTGGAGGGTGAACCAATGGCAAAAGGAAGACCTTTTTCTCTGTCTCTCTCTCTCACTGTCCACTCTGCCTGTCAAAAACAAACAAACAAACAAACAAACAAAAAAAACAGGAAATTTGGACGTTTGAAGAGACATCAGGGTTCAGGCATTTATCCTAGAGGTTAAGATGCTTGTGTCTTATATCAGAGTGCCTGGGTTCAATTCCCAACTCTGTCTCCTCCCTCCAGCTTCCTGCTAATGCAGACCCTGGGAGGCAGCAATGATGGCTCAAATAATTGGGTTCCTGCCACCCTTATAGCTGGTCTGGATTGAGGTCCTGGCTTTCAGCATTTGGGGAGTAAACTGGCAGAGAGATTCTCTCTTTTCTCTCTCTCTTAAAGTTGGGAGAGAGAGAGAGAGAGAGAGAGAGAGAGAGAGAAGGGATCTTTGCACAGAGGACAGGCCATGTGAAGGCACAGGAAGGAGGAAGCTATCTGCAGGCCCAGGAGAGAGACCTCAGAATGAAACCAGCCCAGTGCACACCTTAATCTTTGACCTTTAGCCTCTAGCTCTGGCGAGAAAACAAATTTCCATAGTTTAAGCTACTTAGTCTGGTGCTTTGTTAGAGCAGCCCCAGCAAACTAAGACAATCATTCTCTTCCATTCTTGGGAATTGGCTAATTTCTATGTTCTTTTGCCCTTTTTACTTACCTGTTTGCCAATTTCTACCCCTCATGTTTCTTTATTCTTGTTACTGGTGCCAAGTTAAGCTTTCTGTGAGACTTTGCTCGGGTAGGCAAGCGCCTAGCTCACCAAGACACCTTTCCTTGCTTAGTACTCATTTCCCTCTCATATTCAAATTGCCACAAATCCAGTAGCTTAGACAGCACACAATTGTTGTCTTAAAGTTTTGGAGGTCAGAAATCTAAGATGAGGGCATTTGTCTGGCCTAGTGGTTAAGCTTTTAGCTGAGACACCTGCATCCCATATCAGAGTGCCTGGGTTCAAGTCCTGGCTCTGCTTCTGATTCCAGGATTCCTGCTAATGCACACCCTGGGAGGCGGCAGGTGATGGCCTACCTGGGTCCCTGCCACTGCCACCCACATGGGAGGCCAGCATTGAGTTCACAGCTCCAGGTTTTGGCCTTGCAGGCATCTGGGGAGTGACCCAGAGACTGAAAGTTCTCTGTGTGTGTGAGTGTGAAATAATAAATAAAAGTTGTGAGTGTGCATGGGTGTGCTCCATCTAGAGGTCCTAGGATAGAATGGATTTCCTTACCTTGTCGGGTTTCTAGATGCCCCCTGCATTCCTTGGTGCCGTCCTCCATCTTCCAGGTCAGCAGCGATCACCTTCCAGCCTCTCTGTGATTACATTAGGCTCATGTGGATAATCCCAGATCATCTTCACACCCCAAGATCCTTGCCTTAATCATACCTACTGCCGGGGCTGGCGCTGTGGCACAGTAGGTTAATCCCCCACCTGCAGCGGCTGCATCCCAAATGGATGCCGGTTCGAGACCCGGCTGTTCCTCTTCCAATCCATCTCTCTGCTATGGCCTGGAAAAGCAGTAGGCAATGGCCCAAGCACTTGGGCCCCTGCACCTGCATGGGAGACCTGGAAGAAACTCCTGGCTCCTGACTTCAAATCGGCTCAGCTCCAGCCATTGTGGCCATTTGGGGAGTGAACCAGCAGTTAGAAGACCTCTCTTTCTGTGTCTCTACCTCTCTCTGTCTGTAACTCTGCCTCTCAAATAAATAAATATGGAATGCCAGCACTTCAGGCCCGGGCATTAACCTGTTGCGCCACAGCACTGGCCCCAATAAGTAAAAATCTTTTAAAAAATCATATCTACTGCCACGACAAGTAGAGATGCATATAGACATCTTCTGGGACCATTATTAAGTCTACTGCACCCCTCTTTATTGGGTTTTTCTGATCTTTAATCTTTCTTGTCTCACTCCAACAACAATTGATCACGTTAGCTGAAATCACACTACCCATCTCAGCACATCCAGATCACGTCTATCCAGGCTCTCATTCCTTCACTTCAGTTGATAACTATTCACTGAGTACCCTTATGTGTCAGGCACTGAATTACAGAGTGTGGAAAAGATTTGTATTTGCTGTTAGACCCTCTGAGTGAGGATGCTAACACATCGAGAGGCACACCCCAAAGACTCAGAATCCAGACCGGCTGATGCAAAAGCAAGAGGATTTATTTGGCGTCTGCGCAGATGGGCCTCCTGAACTCGGGAGTCCAGAGAGCGCCCCCAGCACAGAGCCACACGGTTTATATACCCGCAGCAACCAATCCGTGAGCTGATCATGTAAAAGGCATGCGCCTTCTGTCCAATCCGTGAGCTGATCATGTGAAAGGCATGCGTCCTCTACCCAATCAGTGAGCTGATCATGTGAAAGGCATGCATCCTCTATCCAATCAGCTACGGGATCACATGGGAGGCATGCACCTCATCACCATTTTGTTGTTTACTTCTTCAGCAGTTCCTTTCCCTGTCAGCGTCATCTTGTTCACCCTGAGGGGGACGACATCTCACTCCCTTTGTTCCCCTGGAGGGAGAGCAGCGTCCCGCTTCCCACATGGTTATCTGAGTATTAGGAGGCATACAAACTGGGTTAGGTCTTAGCACAGCCAGGCACAAGTGTCTCAGCTAGCTGAGCATAGGGTCCCTTATTTTTATACCTGCACCTAATTTTAGCTCTGGGGAAAAAGTTTAGGGCTATAATTTTTAAATTTTAATTTTATTTGGGGCAAAGGTGACTTCTTATTTTTAGTAGCGTTAGCTTAAGTCACTCCATCTTGGTTTGATTTTAAGGTTCTTCATTTGCAAATACTAAAAACTTTAGATAGCCAGATCAAATCTCTACCTAAATTACAGAAAATTCTTATGGTCTATGAAAAAAAAAAAAAGGAAAGTATTTCCCTAAAGATTCCACGCAATTCCCTTATGCAAATTGTTAGAGAGGAAAGTAGTGGGAAACTGGCTTTTCAGAAAAGCCGGAAAGTTAGATGGGAGAAAAATTAGGTTACCAGGTAAAATACAGGTTAGCTTTAAATTTTGTACAATAACTATTTTTAGAATAAGTCTGTCCCGTGCTATATTTGGTGTCTATTTATACTTAAAAAAAGCCTTTATTGTTCATGTGAAATTTGAAGTTAACAGGGTGGCCTATATTTTTTTTTGAATTTATTTTTAAATCTGGCAACCCCCAAAGGGATCGTACTATTTTTTTTCCTTAAGGTTTATCTGAAAGGCAGAATGACAGAGAGAGAGAGAAAGAGAGAGAGAGAGAGAGAGAGAGAGGAAAAGATCTTCTATCTGTTGGTTTACTCCCCAGATGAGTGCAACAGCTAGGGCTGGGCCAGACCATAGCCAGGAGCCTGAAACTCCATCTCCTTCTTGCCAGAGATCCAAGTATTTGGGTCATCAGGTGCATTAGCTGGAAGTTGGATCAGAAACAACAGGGCTGAGACTCAAACCAAGCATTCAAACATGAGGTATGGTGTCCCACGCAGTGGCTTAACCCACTGTGCCACAGATCCCACCCTGGAAGCAGTACTTCTTGGGAGCCTACTGAATGCGTCAGTTCCCTCCATCGACACAGAAACCCGGTGAAACAAGGGATTGGAACCATCTGCAGAGGCACGGATCCTCCAAAAACCACAGCCATCTTTATTAAGCCAATCAATGTGCTTATTTAATGGGAGATGAAAAAAGGAAAAATGAGTACTGAGGAGGCTGAGCCGGTTTTACATGTGTTGCTGTATATTTATGTCTTCTTAAGGGCAATTTTTAAAAATTTCAGTGGCTAAACACAATCTAATGCTCAAGCAAATGCCAAAGGACTTGTTGTGGCCTTTAACCAAGAGAAGATGCCCTAAGATAAATGAATGAATGCAGTAGACCGGCGCCGCCATCCCATTGGTGGAAGCTGTGAATCAGAGCCCGAGCGACTATGAGGTAACAGATTCACCCGGCTTTAATAGCCCCGAGCAGCGTGGGGATGGCTGGGGCACTCAGAGCTGTGTTACATGTAGAAGGGGAGTTTTGTTAGGAGTTCTTTCAGCAGTGAGTAAGTACTGACGTGGGAACAGGGCTTCCATTTACAGCTAAGGATCACATTAAAAAATACTTTCAGTTGATTACAATGAAGCCTATTATAGCTGTTATTATTTTATTTTGTTTAAATGAATCTAGACTTAATAAGAACCACCAAGCGGGCTGTGGTGTCTAAAATCTAGCTTCTCTTGCTAATCCTGAAATTTCCACTGGCAAACAAAAGACTCTTGTGCTTAAAAAGCACTAAGATCAGGCCGGCGCTGCGGCTCACTAGGCTAATCCTCCACCTTGCGGCGCCAGCACACCGGGTTCTAGTCCCGGTTGGGGCGCCGGATTCTGTCCCGGTTGCGCCTCTTCCAGGCCAGCTCTCTGCTGTGGCCAGAGAGTGCAGTGGAGGATGGCCCAAGTGCTTGGACCCTGCACCCCATGGGAGACCAGGAGAAGCACCTGGCTCCTGCCATCGGATCAGCGCGGTGCGCCGGCCGCGGTGCGCCAGCAGTGGCGGCCGTTGGAGGGTGAACCAATGGCAAAGGAAGACCTTTTTCTCTGTCTCTCTCTCTCACTGTCCATTCTGCCTGTCCAAAAAAAAAAAAAAAACTAAGATCAATTGGCCTGTTTTTGAATGAGCTGATGCAGCCGTTAGCAAAGACCACCCTTCCTAAGAGGTAGCACTCTGGTGCCAGGTGGTCTCTCAGCTTGGACCTCTAAGGCTCGTCTCTGTGCAGGGGGGCTCAGAGCAGGAAAACAACCAGCTGCTTCCCTCCTTGTCACCTGAAAGGAAGCCAACAAAGATACAAGATTTCTTCTCTTTTTCATGATTTTCCTACCCATCTGCCCCTTCATTCCACAGTACTCCATTTCTTTTTTTTTTTAAATTCTTATTTATTTATTCAAGAGGCAGAGAGATGTGGGGTGTGGGTGTGGGAACAAATAGAGAAAGAAAGAGAGAGCTCCCATCTGCTGATTCACTCCCCAACTGCCTGCAACAGCCAAGGCTGGGCCACGGCTGTTGCTGGGAGCAAGGACCTCCATCCAGCTCTCCCATGAGAGCGGCTGGAACCCAATTACCTAGGCCTTCGCTGCTGCCTCCCAAGGTCTGTATCACTAGGAGGCTGGGGTCAAGAGCAAGAGCTGGAGCCAGGAATCGAACCTGGGTACTCTGACATGGGACACTGCATCTTAATGGTGTCTTAACCGCTGGGCTAAATGTCCACCTTGCAGCCTTTTTTTTTTTTTTTTAAGAATTACTTTATTTATTTGAAAGACAGAGTTATAGAGAGAGGTAGAGACAGAGAGAGAGGTCTTCCATCTGCTGATCTGTCGCTCCCCCTCTTCGCGGAGGAACGACACTAAACCCTGCCTAGGCTTCATATCCGAGTCACGGCACCATTATGTCGCTCCCCCTCTTCGTGGAGGAACGACACAGGACCCTGCGCTGTTCTTTTGTCTGCTCGGCCCTCTCCGGGTTTGCTGCTGGTTCTTCCCGGGTGGGCTACCGTCCCTTCCACCTTCGTGGAAGGGCGGTTCCCCCTGCCACTTTCCCCACTTCCGCGGGGGAGCGGCACACCGCCGGCCGGCTCTCTCGGGGGCTGCACAGGTGTTCCTTCAGATAGATGTTCCTGGTGCATGTTGTCTCTCTCCTCCTTTATAGTCCTCTTCCACCAATCCCAACTCTGCTACCCACATGCCGAGCACGCTGCTCTCCTCCAATCAGGAGCAGGTCCTGCTGTTTATTGGTTGAACTGGAGGCAGCTGTGTAGAAGCTGTTTCCTCCTCTCCCAGTGCCATATTGTGGGAGAGCAGATGCAGAGAATAAGTCTTAATTCCAGTAACTTAGTCTAGTCCGAGTTGCTCCCCACACTGATTCACTCCCCAGATGGCCACAATGGATGGAGTTGCACTGATTCGAAGCCAGGAGCCAGGAACTTCTTCAGGGTCTCCCACGTGGGTGCAGGGGCCCAAGGACTTGGGCCATCTTCTACTGCTTTCCCAGGCCACAGCAGAGAGTTGGATCGGAAGAGGAGCAGCCGGGATTAGAACTGGCACCCATATGGGATGCCAGCGCTTCAGGACAGGGTTTTACCCGCTGCGCCACAGCGTCTGCCCCACAGCCTTCATTTTTAAAAAAAAGTTTTATGGGGCAGGCGCGGTGGCACACTAGGTTAATCCTCCGCCTGCGGTGCCGGCATCCCATATGGGCGCCAGTTCTAGTCCCGGTTGCTCCTCTTCCAGTCCAGCTCTCTGCTGTGGCCTGGGAAGACAGTGGCGGATGGCCCAAGTGCTTGGGACCCCGCACCCACGTGGGAGACCAGGAGGAGGCACCTGGCTTCTGGCTTTGGATCGGCGCAGCTCCATCCATTGTGGCCATTTGGGGAGTGAACCAATGGAGGGAAGACCTTTCTCTTTGTCTCTCTCTCTCTCACTGTTTGTAATTCCACCTGTCAAATAAATAAATAAAAGTATATTTTTAAAAAGTTTGATTTGATTTGATTTGAAAGGCAAAGTGACAGAGAGGGAGAGGCAGAGAGCAATAGAGATCCTCCATCAGCTGGTTCAGTCCTCAAATGGCCATGACAGCCAGGGTTGGCCCAGGACAAAGTCAAGAGTCTAGAATTCCATCTGGGTCTCCCATATGGGTAGCAGGGGCACATGCACTTGGGCCATCCTCTGCTGCCTCTCAGGGAGCTCATTGGTAAGAGGAGCAGCCAGGACTCAAACCAGCACTCTGATATGGATGCTGGCATGGCCAACTGCAGCTTGACCCTCTGCACCGCAACACTGGCCCCCTCAGTCCTTCATGCTGAATGCCAGCTCTGGAGTTACTCCAACAGTGGCCTCTGTGGAAGGAGACTTTTACTTGAAGACAGGTATGCCTAGCAAGTGCAGGATTTTTGCTTTTCAGTATGGCTAGAGATCAATAAAATAATTATGCTTCAGGCAAATTTTCAATATGAGTTTGTTTATTTTTATTTGATTGGCTTTTAATGGGTGGGGTTGAAGTTGGGCGTGCACTCCCACAGCTCACTCCCTGTCTGAAAGTGCACACAAAGAAAGGTTGCTCCAGCTGTGCAAGGTCAGAAGCAGAGGTGAGAAGCAAGAGCATGAGAGCTGGGCTCCCACCAGAGCCTTAATCGTCCTGTGACCGGAAATGTGAAGCAATTCTGTCATAACAATCATGCTATTGCTGCTCTGATGTGGAAAATCATGCCCAAGAAGTCTGCCTTGTGACTTAGCCACCTCTCATCACTGCACTGACACAAATTTATGTGAAAAGTACTTAGATCAAGGCAAACGGCAGGGCCGGCACTGTGGCAAAGCGGGCCAGCATCCCATGTGGGTGCCGCCGGTTCCAGTCTCAGCTGTTCCACTTCCAATCCAGCTCCCTGCTAATGTACCTGGGAAAGCAGAAGATGGTCCAAGAGCTTGGGCACCTGCCATCCATGTGGGAGACTCGAAAGAAGCTCCTAGCTCCTAGCTTCAGATCGACCCAGCTCTGGCCATTGAAACCATTTGGGGAGTGAACCAGCAGAGAGAAGATCTCTCCCACTCTCCCTCTCTCTCTGTGACTCAGCCTTTCAAATAAATAAACCAATAAATAAACCTTTTTTTTTTTAAGTACTTAGATCAATGTGATTGTTTTCTGGCCATTTTATTGCAAGCCAGAGCTAAAACAAAATACCAAAGCTAAAGGTTTATCTATCTTTGCTCTTGTATAAAAGGTTGGAATACTTACCCATCCTCTTGTCTTATCTGCAGTAGAATAATAACATGAGGTGCTAGGCTTCGAACAAGATTTGGCTTCCCAACCCACGCAGGTATTTTCAGCCCAGACGTAAGTGGACACTGAATCCAATTACAACGTTTAAGTGAGGGGCCTGATAGGAGGTCTTTAGGTGGCTGGGAGTCCCCCCAGAAGGTAGTTCTCTCAAGAGGGTGGTCATAAAATCTCTGTGGGCCCCAGCCACGCTCTCTGCCCCTTGGCTTACCTTGTGAGCCGTCTTCTTTACACCCTCTGCCATTGTCATCCTCCAACCTTACCACACAGCAAACTAGTAGGACCTGCCCGATTTCTGGACTGTGAATCTCCAAAACTTTGAGCCAAAATAAATCTCCTTCTTTCCTGTGTAGCTCGTCTTTGGTACTTCTTGGAAGCAAAACATGTGTCAACAGATTTTGTAAAGAGGCTGGTGGACACTGCAGACCCTACTTGGAAGAAATGTTTGAAACAGAGTGTGTCTCGGGCTCAGGAGCTGTTTTCACCAGCTTTATTTTAAGTAACTGTTCTGCCTACAATTAGTGTGGGATAATAGAGCAGTCAATTGAATTTATTTCATTAATTTACCATTGTTAAGCTTTGTGAACAGAAATACCTTTGTACATTTTCTTAAAATAGTGAAGGGAAAAAATAAATCTGAGATTATGAAAAACCTAAGATGAGAGGTAGTTTTAAAGATGTTTATCTAGTGCATATTCAAATATGCAAGTCAATTAAGAATTTCCACATAAAAAGTGGATTCGTCACAGATTAATTCTTCTCCAATTATGCTTTTTTTGAACTTTTATCGGTAATTTTAAAAAATGTTTATTTCTGGATTTATTTGAAATACAGATTGATAAAGAAGGGAAGGGAGAGAGAGAGATCTTATATCTGCTGCTTCCTTCCCCAAATATCCACAACAGCTAGGGCAGGGCCTGGCCAAAGCCAGGAATTCTACCTCGGTCTCCTTTGTGTGCGGCAGGGACCCAAGTACTTGAGCCATCATCTGCTCCCTTCCCAGATGCATTAGCAGGAAGCAGAGGAACTGGGACTGGAACCAACACTCTGATATCAGATGCAGGTATCCCTAGTGGCAGCTTAACCCTCTGTGCCACAATGGCCACCCCAGTAATTTTTTTAAAAGTTTTGTTTATTTATTTGAAAGGCAGAGTAAGAGAGGGGGAAAGAGAGAGAATCTTCCATCTGCTGGTTCACTCTCTAAATGCAAAGCCAGGAGCCATGAACTCCATCCATGTCTCCTATGTGAATAACAGGAACCCAGATACTCTGGAGCCATCATCTGCCTCCCAGGAGCATGGACAGGAAGCTGGATCAGAAGCAGAGGCAGGACTCCATCCCAGGCTCTCTGATATGGGATGCAAGAGTCCCAAGCTATGGCTTAAGTTGCTGGGCCACAATGCCCTACTCTGCTTTTCAGAACTTCAAAACCTCCATCAGCACAGAAAATGTATGACTTCCAATGCATCAAGGGAGTAACCAATCAGTGCAGTAACAATTAGAGACGACGTTAGTGTGCTCTAGCAGTATGATCCAACCTAGAGAGAGATCACACCGTGATCAGAACAGGGAAGGCTCCATGCAGTTGGTTCTCATTTCCCAAGGTAACTTCAAAGTCATCTTAGAAAATGAAACAGCAAGTGCTGAATCACCGCTTTATGGGAAGTACAGGATTAGGTTCCCTCGAGCTTCTGGCCACAACATTGTCATCAACTGATCCATGCATAACCTTATTTTGCGTGTGTTTCTGTTGAAGGACACCTTTATCTAATTGTACTGTTGACTCGTTTATAG